AGGTCAGCACCAAAGCAAATGGGCTTCAGTGAAGCTAAAGTGCTCCCAGTTCGGTGCGGGTGCCAGAAGTGTTCCATGTGAAAATTGCCAAAGCATTTTCAATATCCCATCTGCTGACCCTGCCCTGGATGTTACCTGAAGCAGCTGATCCGCACTAATGGGGTTCTGCAAAGAACTTTTATTAAAAGATACACAACTCCAACCTGCGGTCTTAGATTTCATGTATGCAGTTCTCACCTAATTCAATTCACCACTGCTGGAAGGGCATCAGGTGGCAAAGATACTTGCTAATAAGATTAAAACATAAGCCACAAATTGGCTAACATTTTGCATGGATTATCACAGAATCAGAATTTTAATTTGCCTTCCACTCAACCATGTGTCTCTTCCATTTTGCCCAAACTGATCGTGGTGACGGCTGGTGAACTCCAATGCACCCAGTGTAGAGAGCTTTAACCAAAGGGCAGGCCAGCATCTCAGGAAGAAGAGTAAGGAAAATGCTCAGCAAGAAGGTCTCACAGCACAGTCGTACCCAACAGCTGCTCTTTGTAATCTTCTTCTCACGCTGACCTGGCCCTCACTTTACTCTTGGTTTCTTAGTTGGCAGGGGAGATAAACAACAACAACAACAACAACAACCCCAGTCAGAATCTCACAAAGTCTGAGGATCTCTTTAAACTGGAATCTCAAAAAGAGAAACAGCACTCCAAAGAGCACAGGCAGAGCCGTGCAACATCACCAGTTGTCAGGGAAATGCAACTCAAAACCACAATGAAGACACCACTTCACACCCTCTAGGCTGGCTACAGAAAAAAGATGGACAACAGCAAGTGCTGGTAAGGATGTGGAGCAACTGAGGGAATGTAAGCGGTGCAGTCACTGGGAAGCAGGATGGCAGTTTCTCAAAATGTTAAACAGTTACTATGTGATCCAGCAATTCCACTCCTAAGTATCTATCCAAGAGAAATGAAAACATATGTCCACACAAAACTTGTACATGCATGCTCACAGCAGCAGCATTCTTAACAGCCAAAAAGTGGAAATAACCCAAATGTCCCTCCACTGACCAATGGATAGGTAAAATGTTGTATGCCCATGCCATGTATTATGAAAAGGGATGAGGCAGACACATGCTAGGATACGGGTAAATCCTGAAAACACGCTCAGTGGAAAAAGCTAGACTCAAAAGGTCACATATTGTACAATTCCATTTACATGAAATGTCCAGAATAAGCAAGTCTTAGAAAAAAAATTAGTGTTTGCCTCGAGTTGGAAGGGGTTTGGGGTTTCTTTTCAAGGTGATGAAAATTAGATTGCAGCGATGGTATACAATTTCTGTGAATATACTAAAAACTATTGAATTGTACACCGCAAGTGGGTGACTCTTATGTTAAGCGAATTATCCTATATAATAAAATCAAATATATATAGTTATATATTATATTACATAATATAATATTTAAATCAACCAAATGGAGGAACAACCAGTCACTATGACGCACACTTGACTACCAGGGGGCAGATGCTCAACACAGGAGCTGCCCTCTGGTGGTCAGTGGGTTCCCACAGGGTGAGCTCCTGCTCCTTAGTGTTTGCTGCCTTGGAGGCGGAAGAGGCTCCAGCCACTGCCGCTGTGCTCTCCAGCCGTGAGCCCAGCTTCTTACTGCAGGCAGGCGGTAAGGAGCAAGAAGAGGTCCCGGACGGCGAGAAAGCCTAAGCTGGCAGTTGGACATCCCCCAAGAGGTCCCAGACTGCGAGAGGACACAGGCCAGGTTGAGGGACACTTCCCCTCCCCCCGCCAGTGCATGAAGTTTCATGCACAGGCCTCTAGTATCTAAATAAAGCTGTTGTGTCCTAGCCGGTATGGCTCAGTAGATAAGAGTGTCAGCTCTTGGACTAAAGGGTCTCTGGTTTGATTCCGATCAGGGGCACATACGTAGGTTGCAGGCTGGATCCCTGGCCCCAGGTCAGGGGTGCATGCAGGAGGCAACTAATTGATGTGTCTCTCTCACATTGATGTTTCTCTCTGTGTCTCTTCCCCTCCCTTCCACTCTAAAAATCAATAAAAAAATATCCTCAGGCAAGAATTAACAAAATAAGTAAAAAGTAAAGCTGCTGTGAAAAAGAAGAAAGCAAGCAGGAATGAGGATGCATTATAAAAGGCAGCAGTATTCTAAGAAACCAGCTCTGGCTCGAAGAACATTTGATGGGGCAATTCACATGCCACTGACTCTCAGTAATGGACCAGCAGCTCACCAATCCAGACAGAGGCCAGCATTCCTGGGCATGGCCACCCCCACCACCACACATCCTACCCAGGAGCTCCCGGCACCAGCCAGATTTCTGCTCTGGGCCTCCTAAGATCCATCAGTCATGTACCAACTCCATCACCACTTCTACGGGTTCGCAAGGAAACTGGCACCTGACAGAATTCCAGAAACCACACACCAATGACAGCAGAGGTGTTGCTGTAGTAACCAGAGCAACTTCTCTTAGACACTTTGCTACCCTGCCAATTGGTCCCTATCACACCAGAAACCATTATATTAAACAATGGACACAAATTCAAGATCATTCCAAAAATGACCCACATCAGGGATCGCACTTTCAGAATTTTATGATTAGTTGCAAAAAAACCTTCATACTAAATTCTTACATTTCAATCACCAGGAGGTACATAATTACGAAGACTGAGATTACAACAAATATCATGGCTCATAATAGAACTTTAAGTTTATGGCTCAAAGATACAATTAACATGAGATGCAGCTTTCCCAATCCAAAAAAGGGGGAAATGATTCCCACAAAAGAGAGGAAAGAGGCTGATGAAAGCTTACAGTTAGCAGGAAATGTTACTCCCATAGTCTTTTGGATGGGAGACCTATTTGCTCAGAAGAGAGACTGTTTAAGATTTAAAATGTATTAGGGCAAAGGGCAAGTGTATGGCGAAGACATTCTACATGCCGTCTCACACATGGCAGCAGTGAGCACCTAGGACCTCAAAGCTTCCGTAAGGACTTCCACAAGGCATGTTGGGAGGGGCACCTGGAAACAGCCTAAGAGGTGGGGGTCAGGCTAAGGACAGAGGGGCAGGTGAGGGGGAAATGGTTCTGAGGCAAGCAACAGCAGCTACGGCGAGGGACATTTTCACAGGGAAGAGGAGAGGAGTGTTAACCACAGCTGATCGCCTTTGGCTGGGCAAACGTCAAGTGTACCACCAGCATTTGTGTGAGGGGAAAGGGGTAAAGGGGGGTGGAAGGCAAGGCAGGTGAGACTGTCTTTTCAAAGCTGTCAGGCTGACTGCAGGTACTCACAAATCCAGGTCAAATGGGGGGCGGGGCAGGCTAGGAGGAGGTCAATGGGGGGGGGGGAGGGAGTATGTAATACTTTCAACAACAATGTTTTAATTTTAAAAATGGGCGGGGAGGAGACTGGAGGAAGCCTTGGTGGTGTAGATAAAAGTTAAGAACCCGCAGAGGGTCCCCTGGAGCTGGAGAGGGAGATAGCAGGAGGGGGAGGACTGGGCGGAGAGGCCAGAGCACAGGGGGAGACGGGGCCAGGGACCTGCGGGGAGACCAGAAAGACCCTGCGTGCGGGACGCGGCGGGAGCCCCTGCAGCACCGGGCGGGGGTGGGGCCCTCAGGCTCGGGTGGTGGCGGGTCTGAGGAGGCTGGCTGACAGGGGCAGGGGGCCCCGCATCAGGACCCGGGATGAGGAAAGGAGGCCCGGGCACGGCTCAGGGCTGGGGGAAAGCCAGCACAGGCCCTGCCGGGAGGGTCCCGTCGGGAGAAGCCGACGGAGAGCTGTTCAGGGTGTGAGGGGCGGCAGGGAGGACTGGCCGCGGTGACAGGTCACGGAGGGCAGGCCCGCGGGGGAGGCGCCCGGCGTGGGGGCTTCCGGGTGCCGGCGGCGCGGGGCGCGGGGCGCGGGCTGCGGGCGGGAGAGGTCGGTCCGCCGGGGGCCGGTCGGGCTGGGACAGTGTGCGGCGCCGGCGGGGAAGTCCGGGAGAAGCGCCGCTGCAGGAGGCCCGGCGGCCAGGGCCTGGTCCCGGCTGCGGGCTCGAGGCGAGGAGCCGGCAGGCTCGGCCTGTGAGCGCCGCGAGGAGGCCCTCGGGCCCGCCCGCCGGCCGGCGCTCACCTGCAGCACCACCTCTACGTCGTACGAGTTCCCCTTGCTCTTCTGGTGGCCGCGGAACTTGGAGCCGCTGTAGAGCAGGCTGGTGGCCACGCCGGGCTGCTGCGTGTTGATGGGCGGCGGAGGGATGAGCGAGGCCGCGGAGGCGACCGAGGCGCCGGCCGGTGGGGGACACTCAGTGCGGACCGGCATCGCGGGGTCCCCGGGAGCCAGGGCTGGGGGAGGGGGAGAGGAACCGCCGCCGCCGCGCGGGAGCCGAGGGCGGCGGGGAGGGAGGGGCCGGGCGCGCACGCGCTGGCCTGGGGCGGGAGCCGCGCACCACCCGCCCGCGGCCTGCGGGCCAACCGCTCCGGCCGCCACCGGGACTCCGGGACCTGCGAGCGGGGCCCGCCGGCGTGGAGTTGAGTCCCCTTCCTCACTTGCGCGCGCGCCCGTGCGCGCGCCCGTACACTCACACACTCACGCTCACACACACTCACACACACTCACAAACACACCAGCCTTTCCGATTGGCCAGGTGGCGCCTGAGGGGCGGGAGCAGACTGAGGCGGTGCTTCCACCCATTGGTGAGCGAAGAGAACACGTGACGGGGAGTGCGAGGCGCCCTCTGGGACTTGTAGTCTTCCCTAAAAGCGCGGCTCGGAGTGGGTGGGGCCAGGTGCTTTCGCGACGCTGATTGACTAGGGCGTGCGCAGCGGGCGCTCGGGAGTGACGGCGGGTCGCCGGCGACCTGCGGAAGATGGCGGCGTCCACGGCCGTGTGAGGGCTCTGAGGAGGCGGAGAGAGGTTTCCGAACAGCCAGAGGGTGCAGCTTGGGGATCCTTCCGCTGTTTCCTGCTCTCAGGTTTCGCACCAGCTGTGCCGCCATGCCCTCCGGCGCGATGTGGAGGAGCTGCCTCTGCCTGCGGCATGGGTGGCGCCGCCTCCTGAACCGACCCCCCGGTGGTCCCTGGGCCTCCGTGGGGATGAGGGCAAGCATCCCGATCCCATTCCGGGCCTACGCTCCCCCGGCGGGTAAGGGAGGCTAGGGCACGTCCCCCTTTGGCCGGGGGCCGAGCGCGCGAAGGTGGGCTGAGAGGTTTGAGGTGCCGGGCGGGGTACGGGGCGGTGGGGTTCCCGGGCAGTCGGCCGGTTACTGACCGGGAGAGTCCCGGCAAGGAAAGGGACCCCGGAGGGTGCACAGCCACACGGCTCTTCAAGGCAGGAGCCGGGAGTTGACCTTGGCATGTGCGGTTTTCTCAGTGTGTGACCTTCTTCTCTTTAATAAGGAAAGCAGGAGCGATGCGTGTTTTCAGACCGGGAAACTCGGGTTCTGTGCCAGGACCCCTCCAAGGTCACTGAGCAGCCCCGGAGGTCGGCGGAGGCGGAGGCGGGCGGCACCGCCCCCGCCGCTTTCCCCGCCGGCCCCGGCCCCGCCGGCCCGCACAGCCCTGCGCCTCTGCCGAGGAGGCCATTGCGGCCTCGTGCGGCCTCCACGCCGGCTGAGGAGACCTGGGAGGAGGAGTGACTTTGTCATTGCTTCTAGCGAGAGGTTAGGGCTGAGCCGGAGTGACTCACTTGAAAGAGAGAAGAGTAGTAACTCTGCTACATTCGGACAGTTTTTCTGTGCTGAGGGCAGGAGGCCCACTGATCCTCGAGACAGAGACCTCGGTCCTCACCCGATGATGCTCACTGCCAAGTGCGGGAGGTGTCACACCCGCGTTAAGCAGTCGCTTAGCCCTGTGGTGCGGACAAAAGCTCCTACTCCCCAGTGGGGTGTCTAGAAAGGGTCTTGGGTTATGAAAGAACTTTAACCTGAGAGTTGGGGGATGAGTAGGAGCTGGTGTAGAGGAGGGAAAGGTGGGCAGCTGGAACACATCTGGAGGTGCAGTGGGTGAGGTGTTGCTGTGATGCTGCAGGCACGGGGCTGTGGCGGGGCCCAGGCCGGAGTCTGGCGCTGCTGGACCTCTGAGGTACTGTGTGATCTTGGGCCTCATTTTCTTATGTGAGTTGAAGGACTAGGTTGCCTGTGAGGGTTCTTCGTTTAAACTCCATAACTTTATACACGTTGGGTACAGCTGGGCGCTGAGGTGTCACCTTTCAGGGCCCAGGTGAAGGGAATGGAGGTAGGCCCTGAAGAGCAGTAAAGAGGAAGAAGGAAGGGCATCTGTGATAATTGTGATGTATAATAGCCCTGGCACACAGTTCCTAAAAGCCAGAGAGAATCTTTTGCTAAAATAGTTGGTCTTTTGTCCTCAAGGAGCTCCAGAATGAGAAAGATGAAAGGAGTGTCTTTCAGCCACACCCGAGTTTATGTTAGTGAGGTGACTTTTAGAAAACCCCTAAGGATGGGGACTGGTTGCCATGGGAACCAACCTTGTGCTAAGGAGGTTGAACTTTCAGCCCTACCCTCTGACCTCCAGGGAAGAGGGGCTAGAGATTGACTTGATCATTCATGGCCTGTATGCCTACTTAAGGAAGCTTCTCTAAAACCCCTGAGCCATGGGCTCTGAGTGGTTCGGAGAGCTTCTGGGTGGTGAGCACGCAGAGATGCCGGCATGTCCAGAAAGGCCTGGAAGCTCCTCACCCTCTTCCAGGTACCTTCCCTTTGCATTTCTTCCGTCTGGCCCTTCCCGTTAGATCCTTCTATAATAAACCCCTAATCTGGTAAGTGAGATGTTTTCCGGAGTTTTGTGAGCTGTTCTAGCACTTAATCAAACCCGAGGAGGCATCATTGGGACCTCCAGTTTATAGCCGGTTGGGTTGATAAGAAGCACAGGACCCTGAAGGGGTGGGGTGGGTGGGGACAGGTTGCGGTGGGCAGTCTTGTGGAACTTAACCATTAACATGTGGAATCAGATACTAACTCCCCAGTGGATAATGTTAGAACTTAACTGAACTCTAGGACTCCCAGGTGGTGTTACAGAAAACCCCACACGTTTGGAACGTCTGTGTGAGTATGTAAAGGAAAATGAAAGGTGGAGTTCACTTAAGTTGGCAAAAGCAGAGGGTTAATTTAGGTTAATGGATACCACTTCATCCTTTTTGTGTGTGTGTGAATTTTTTAATTGATTTGTGAGAAAAAGAGAAAGAGAGAAAGAAATATCAATGTTTCCACTTATTTATGCATTCATTGGTTGATTCTTATATGTGCCCTGGCCAGGGACTGCACCCACAACCTTGGCATATTGGGATGACACTGTAACCAAGTAAGCTACCCAGCTAGGGCTCCGTTTCCTTTCTACTGCAGACGTACTAGTTTGGGCTCTTGGAAGTACTTGGCACACGGTAGGTAGTCAACTGCGAAAGAAAATATGAATGAAAGAAGTAAAAAAGCACAGTGGGAGTGAGATACATGAACCAGGCCTATGAGTGATCTACAGAGATTTTGCCAATTGTGTGATTCTGAGAGTGTTTGGAATGGCAGGAGGTTAAATCCAAAAGGGGCCTTGCTGAAGATTTCCGCTGGCAGGTAGATGGTCTTGGCCTCTTAGGAGTGGCCGTGTCATTGAAGTCGGTCAGAAGGAGGGGGGTTAAGCAGGGCTGTTGGGTGTTAGAGGAGGTGCTGCAGGAAGGAGACTTGTGCCAGGCAGTACCCGCTGCGTGGAAGGGAAGGAGTTGTGGAGGGGTAGCCTGTGTGGCTGAATGCAAACACCCAGTGAAGTCAAGTTTAGAAGTCTTGTCTGCTCCCTCTGCAGCTGTCTGTCACCTGGACAGTCATTTAGCTTCTCTGCCCCCTCAGGGCCATCTTTCTCATGGTTGTGGTAGACGGAGGGAGAATCTGAGATAAGGCATCCAGCCTGCCACCTGTTTTCCTACTAAAGTTTTATTGGCACACAGCTACACTCATTCATTTACATATTGTCTAGGGCTACTTTCACTACAGTAGCAGAGTTGAGTACAACAGAGACCGAATGGCCTGCAAAGACTAAAATATTTGCTATTTGGCTCTTTACAGAAAAAAATTGCCAGCCTCTGCTCTAGATGCTATAACACTTTGGAAAAAGTGTGTTTAGTCACTTAGACCACTTACATTAATTGCTATGGCAGATACATTCAGTGTGAAGAATTTTATAACAGATTTAGTGAGGTATATATAATTCACTTATTCACTTATTTATTTTAAAAATATATTTTATTGATTTTTTACAGAGAGGAAGGGAGAGGGATAGAAAGTCAGAAACATCAATAAGAGAGAAACATCAATCTGCACACCCCCCACCGGGGATGTACCCACAACCAAGGTACATGCTCTTGACTGGAATCGAACCCGGGACTCTTGAGTCCGCAGGCCGACGCTCTATCCACTGAGCCAAACCGGTTTCAGCTATTCTTCACTTATTTAAAGTGAACAATTACATGGTTTTTAGTAGATTCACAGAATTATGCAACCATCACCACAGTCAATTCTAGAACATTTCTATTTTGTCAAAAAGAAACCCTGTGCCCTTTAGCTATTGCCCTCCCATTGTCCCCTCTAGCTGTAGGCAGCCACTAGTTTCTGTTTCTATAGATTCCCCAATTCTGAACATTTTATATAAATGGAATGTAGTCTTTTTTGATTGGCTCCCCCCCCCTTAGATTGTTTTCAAGGTTTATATAAGTTGAAGCATGTATTAGTACTCTGTTCTTTTTCATTGCTGAGTAATATTCCATCTTATTTATCCATTCATCTATTGATGAGCATTTGTGTTGTTTGCATCTTTTGACTGTCTTGCATAATATTGCTATAAACATTGGTGTACAAATTTTTATATGGGTATATGTTTTCATTCCTCATATATCCAAAATATAATTCTGGGGTCAAATGGTAACTGTTTAACCTTTTGAGGAACTAACACACTGCTTTCCAAGGTGGCTGCACCATTTTACATTTCTACTGGCAGTGCAGGAAAGTCCCAATTTCTTCACATCCTCGCCAGCACTTGTTATTACCTGTCTTTTTTATTATAGCCATCCCAGTTTTGATTTGAATTTCCCTGATGATGAATGATGTCGAGCCCATTTTTATGTGCTTTTTGGACATTTGTATATTTTCTTTGGAGAAATATCTATTCAGATCCTTTAACCATTTTTAATTGGGTTATTTGTCTTTTTATTGTTGAGTTGTAAGAGTTCTTCATATTGTTGGCCTGAAAAATTTTGATACCAGAAACAGTTGGTCAGAGCCTCCTCTTCTCCCATTCTGAACCGAGGCCTATCCCTAGAGAGGACTTCAGTTTTAAGGCTTAAGTCCCACCAGATGGCACTGTTTAAAAAGATAAAGGTATTAGAAGGCACTTCTGTTCCTGGTGCTCAGCGGGAGCTGTAGCTCTCAGTCCTTACAAAGCAAAGACCTGCTTGGTAATTGGGGCTGTCAGGTCATTTGCTGGCCCATGAGGCCTGGGACAGGAGGAGCAGTGTAGGACCAAGCGACAGAGAAAATGCCTGCTTTTTTATTTTATTTTATTTATTTAAAAATTTTTAAAATATATTTTATTGATTTTTACAGAGAGGAAGGAAGAGAGACAGAGAGCTAGAAACGTCGAGAGAGAAACATCGACCAGCTGCCTCTTGCACACCCCCTACTGGGGATGTGCTCGCAACCAACGTACATGCCCTTGACCGGAATCAAACCCGGGACTTTTCAGTCCGCAGACCGATGCTCTACCACTGAGCCAAACCGGTTTCAGCTGCCTGCTTTTTTATATGGAGTGAAGCAGCTTCACTGGAACTGGGACCCAGTGGACATTAATGTCCAACTCAGCACTCTTCACAAGAGCGTATTTTCTTATTAACTTCTCTCTGCTTATATAGCCGGTGTTCTTGTGGTCAGCTTTATAAATTCAGCACTTATTTACATACCCATTTCTCTGTATCTACACGGTCCACAAAATTGTCTCTTAAAAGCCACTGGGTGTGTTTTTGCCACAGAAACAGATGTTGTGTAAAGGGAGTGATTCATACTCAGGATAGACCCGAGTTCTGTGTGCTCCTACAAGGTTAGGCTGTTTCTTCACCTTTAAAGATGGTGTTCCTGGTTTTTATTTATTTATTTAATAAACCTTTATTGTTCATCTTATTACAAAAGTTCCTCATTTGATGTGTTCCTGTTGCTGTCGGCTAGGTCTGTATTAATGGAGACTATGGGGCTTCATAGACTTCTAATGGCCTCATGATTTATCTTATGGACCCAAGACCTGTGAGTGCCCAGGTGAAGAACCTTTATCTTTTGTCATTGTTGGGGAGCCTGACTCCCGCCAAATGAATTTCCAGATCATATTTGCCTGTGAGAATGCCTTACCTGACTCCCTCTCTCCTCCTTACTGTTACCTACGCCCCTCTGGCACCTGCTGGATAGCTACAGTCTTCTCTGACCCTCTTTCTAGTTCTTCAAAACTCTGTGCTCTCTTGAGGCCCCAGACTGGTGTCAGCTGTTTGCTCTTTTCAGACACCCTCTAAAAATGAACCCATCCATGCAGATGACTCACTCCTTCCTCTGCAGGTCTCAGATGGAACTGCTGCTGGGAGCTCTTCCTTTAGCCCACGAGGGGACCAAGCTTCCCCAACGTGTGTCTGTTCCTTGACTTTGGCCATCATGCCCCTTTCTTGTTTGGCTAGTTTAGTGTCTGTCTTCCCGCAGGAGAGTTAGTCCCTCTAGGGTGGGGGTGAACTTTGAGTCCTGTTGCCAGGACTTACTACACTTTCTAGAAAGGGATTCATGCTAGAGTTTATTTCAAAACTTCCAAGCCTGGAGTTAGCCCTCTACCTGCCACTGCTCCCTTCAGGAGAAGGCCTGTCTGGAGCACCCGCACATGCGCCCAGCAGCCTTTGAGCTCCTTTTGCCCAGTTATCTCTTGGTTTTCTCCTATTTTGAACAATTTTGGTTGCCCCTTCCTTGGCCCTGCATCAACCCCACTCCCTTCTAGTTTTTTCTTCCTCTTAACAGATAAAGAAGTAGGACTGGCCAGGGCAGAGGAGCCAAGGCCTGGCCTGCAAGGCAGGGGGGGGGGGGGGGGGGAAGCGACTCTTCCCTTGTGGGAAACCCTGCTGTCCTGGCATCTTTGGATGGTTCAGTCTGTGCTGGTTCAGTCCATTTGGATGGTTCAGTTCATTCCTCGCCCCAGGTCTCCTGGACCCATTTCCGAGGGCTGTGTGCTAGAATGCTCTCCATTGACACTTCCTGCTCAGGGAAGGATCCCCAGCCACACCCCAGTGATGAGTCAGAGCTCTCACAGCTCTTCCCACTTCCTGCTTGGCCTGGCTGCGGACTTGCTGCCCAGCCAGACATTGGAGAGCACCTGGCTGTCATCGGATGCCGTGGTCCAGACCACACACACAGGAGCCTCCAGATGCTCGCACCTGCCATGTGAGTGTGACCGCCAGCCTGTACAGTAAGGACATTTACAAGCAGCAGGGTGGGTAAATCTCCTGATGTGTCAGCTGTGCGAGACTCAGAGTTCAGATGAAGATGGCATATTGTGCTGTAATAATGTAGCATCATCTTGGTTGTTAGATCTGATCACTTTAAAAAGAAAATTTAAACTCTATGAAGACACAGATTTTGTTTTATTCACTGTTTTACCAATGTACCTACAATAGTACCTGATAAAAGTTGGCACAAATATATTTTGTGGGAAACCAGTTTGGGTCTTATTTAGTAAGTGCAACCACGGGACTGTAATTTCCATGTGTAAGCATTAATGATAGCAAGTGAGATTCATGAAAAAAAATGTCCAAAACAAAAATATGTTTGTAGTAAGACCAGATACTTTCTTTCCATCCTCTGTTACATAAACCAAGTTTTTGTTTTCATAGTCTATTTGAATTAATAAAACTGAGGTTGGCCAGTGTGGCTTGGTGGTTGAGCATCAGTCTATGAACCAGGAGGTCATGGTTCAGTTTCCAGTCAGGGCACATGCCTGGTTGTGGGCTCCAACCCTGGTAGGGGGCTTGCAGGAGGTGGCAGATAGATGATTCTCTCTCATCATTAATGTTTCTGTCTCTCTTTTTCTCTTCCTCTCTAAAATCAATAAAAATACATTTTTTTAAGAATTAAAAGAACTCAAAAAAGCTTTAAAAACTAATGAATCTTCTTTTCCTTTACATGCTACATAATCATTTTCAATAACTGACTTTGGTCAGACTCTGAAGGCTTTAGGTACCCGATGAATAATATGTGAAAGAACAAACACATGAATGAATGAATGAATGAATGATTTTGTTTATCACAGATGTAAGGACTGGTTATGGTTTTTAATTTTCAAAATGTGACCTATTTGTTCTTTATTAATGGAAGGAATCTGCATAATTCCTTATGCAGTACTATTGTTTTCTAATCCCCCCAGGTGAAAGAGGCGAATATATTTATATTTTTACGTAAGATTTTATTCAAGTTATTTTCAGAAGAACAGGACACAGATTTTTCCTTCCTAAAGGAAATGTTTGGAGTTCCTGTTGAATACACAGGCAAGCTGGTAAATTAGGTTAATTAATTAGTATAGGGGATGGAAATGCTCCTGGGATCTCTGCTTACTGCTTGTGCATCACAGTCATGGATATGCACATCACGTTCACCCTGCCTTCCACTCCTGCCTTGAATGGGTCTCTGGCTTTATCACACCAGACACCATCTTTAGATTTGGGCTCATTGTGCTGGCACGGGGCAGCACTAGTGGGGCTGGTGTGGGAGGAACATGCTTAGAAGTTAAAGCAGAAGGTGTGGAAAAGTTTTTCGGGTCATACGGTCTGCAGGCTTATGATGCTGCGTGATCAGACTGTTCCTGGGCTGGCGGGGGCTTGACCAGTTGTCCTCCCTTCTCCCTGGAGAGGGAACCACCAGCTTTAATCAGAAGCTGTTGATTATGCTACAGAGTAGGGCAGACCTTGATTAGTGATATGACAAGCCAATCAGCCAGCATTAGCAAGCTGGTCTTATTGCTTCCTGAGCTCTCTCAACATTATTATAACTGCCTTTTTGAAAAATCTTTCCCACAGAAAGGAAGAGATTCTATCAGAATGTCACCATCACACAGGGTGAAGGTGAGTATCTGAAATTTTCACTCCCCCCCTCCCCCCTCCGGTTAATGGGTAGAAACATTTTTCATCTCCAGCCAATTGGGTGATGAGCTGACCTTCGCACTTTTGTTGCATACGTTTCTGTAAGTCCCCCACGGAGGGACTCGGTTGTCTTTGCACCAGTTCAGGTTGCTAAATATAGAATGGTCTCTTGATTCCACTTAATAGTCCCTGAGAGGTTTTCATTTGATCTTTCAAGGCGGCTTTGAGATAAACCTGGACCACAGGAAGCTGAAAACTCCCCAAGCCAAGCTCTTTACTGTCCCCAGTGAGGCCCTGGCCATCGCAGTGGCCACTGAGTGGGACTCCCAGCAGGACACCATCAAGTTCTACACCATGCATCTGGTAACAAGTTTGCACACCTATACTTTGATGCCTGCTCTTGGCTTTCTAGGCACCTGTCAAAAATCGGGAGAGTCCTACTAAATTACAGTAGAGTCCTTGGGGATGCTGCTGTCTCACTTGCCTCCTCCAATGTGCCAAATATTCCCCCACGGCCTGGCCACCTGCGCTCTCTGCTCAGAGCGCTGTGCTGGCTGGCGGACTGCTCCTCTGGGCTCAGGCAGATGTGTCCCGCTAACTGCCCAGCTGTCTTACTGTCTGTCGTGAAGCTGGCTTGTTCCATCAGCAGCACCGTATAGTGTTTGCATTGGGGTAGCTCAGACGGGCAGGACCATGCCTGTCTGACGAGTGTAGTGAATTACATCGACAGTCAGTACTGGTTGGGTTCAAGAACCCAAGGGGCAGGTGGGTGAGGTGAGGAATCCCATGGAGCAGCCCCCATTTGCACGGGGTGGCTCACTGAGGCACTGGAGCAGTGAGGAATAGTCAGCTAGACTGGGCTCAGGCCCTGCAGCTTCCAAACTGTAACCTTGGGCAAGTTCCTGCCCCTTTCCGGCCCCATTGTCTGCCATCTGTGAGAGGTGGGTGACAGTGCTCCTTCGTGGAGTAGTGGTCAGATGGGGTGAGCTGACCGTTGAAAGGCCTGGGTGTGGTCCCTGGCACCTACAGAGAGAGCAGTCAGTCAACACTGGAGTTAGTGCTATCATCCTGTCCCTCCTCAGGACCCTCCCCTCCCCCCCACCATCACCCGGGCTCGGCCTGCATACCAGCATGCTTCCTCAACACCTTCCCAGCCAGCTGTGTGCGGGCTGTGCCTTTGACTGTCTGATGACGGGATGGGCTGCAAGCTAACGTTAGAGTCCCTAACAGCCACTGTCAACAATGCCAGTCTGGAAAGTAATCCTGTTCTGCTCACTTGTTCCCCTGCTTCCTGAGGTATGAATGGAGCCAGCTGGTGAGTTTTTCAGTCAGATTTGAATTCTAGTAATCTTATGTGTCTTATTTACTGAATTTGACCTCTCTGGGACTCCATTTCCACATCTCTAAAATGGGTATAATGGTACCTATCCAAAGGGTTGTTGTGAGGATTCAGTGGAATGCAGCAGAGTCTGGTAGAAGAGTATGAGGCCTTGGGAAGTACGCTAATCCTAGGCCTCTGTGAATATCCGGAGTCCATGAGCTGTCACCCGGTGCTCTGTGGGCACGGAACCTGCTGTGGCAAGCTCTCACTAGATGTGCTGCAGCTGAGGCTTTAGGTCGAGGGCTTCGGCGGGCACTGCTCCTTGCTGGGTGTCGCTGGCTGGTTCTCTCTGATGCTCTGGGTTGGACACGGTGTCCTCGGGAATGCGGTGGTTTTTGCCTGGGTCCAGTGGGTGGTGACAAGGCTCTCTGCCTTTTGATTCAGACCACATTGTGCAACACATCTTTAGACAATCCAACGCAACGAAACAAGGACCAGCTGATCCGGGCAGCTGTGAAGTTCCTGGACACCGACACCATCTGGTAATTGACATTTAGATGAGCATTCTCCTTGGACCTAGTGAGTTCTTTGGGCTGTTTCGCCTCATTTGCCCAGTTATCAGTAGAAGAAGAGGCGATTTTCCTTTATCTCACTGGGCAGGGAGAGCAACTAGCTCGCTCTCAGCTGCTCTGCAAACCCCGAGGAAGGAGAGCTCCTGGCTGGGCACAGCTCTTCCGCAGCCCAGCAGCCATCCCTCGGCTGGAGCGGGTGGTGGGTGGTGGGTGGTGGTGGTGTATGCAGCTCTGGTAGGCTCCAGGACAAAGGGCCACTTGCCAGGCCCCAGCAGGGCCTCTGACCCTAGGCTACCAGATCAGTCTCACATCGGCATCCTTCCCATTCACTCCTTGTCAGCCTGGACAAGGATGGCCAGATGTTGATATTAAGGAACTAGCTTCTTCCACTTCTAAATTTTCCCATCCTGTCTATGTTCTTCGTTTTTAATTTAAAGAAAAAAAAAAAAAATATATATATATATATATATATATTTTAATAAGAATTGATTCACTCAATTTTAGAGGCCAAGCAGCCTCACAACCTACAAGCTAGAGAATTAAAGCTGGTGGCATAATTCAGTTCAGGTCTGAAGGCCTAAAAAAATGTATATACCTATACACACACACACACACACACACACACACACACATTTATTACAAACCGTGACTCACGGACTGTGCAGACTGAGAATCCCTAGGTCTTTAGTGGGTGAACTGGATACCCATGAAAGCTGCCATGTATCTGTCTGCGTGCCAGCAGGCTTGAGAACTGGAATGAGCCATTTTTAGTCAGTCCGAAGGCTGGGAGAGAACTGTCCCAGTGGAAGGCATCAGGCTGAAGGAGTTCCTTCTGTGTGTCCTTCAGCTAATTGGTTAGTGATGCTGAGGGGAGCGGAAGCAGTGCTGAAGCGGCCGAGCTGCATGGTGCCCGCTGGCTGAGTTCTCACGGATGGCATGTGAAGCCAGCAGTGGGCTGAGGGGAGCGCCTCCTGGAGAGGCAGCCAGCAGTGGCATCTTCGAGTTGCTAGTCAGGAAGTCCCCATAAGTGTTCAGGGCCATTTGATTGCAGGGAACAGAAGCTATTCAACTTAGCTCAGGTAAAAGGGTTTTCTTAAAAACCACACAGGGTCCTGATAGGAATGAAGGACAGTTGGTCACCTGGAATGGGAGCTGGAAGATTGGCTACCAGAGTTCCTCCCTGTGCCTTGAGGGGAGTCAGCACACTTGTCTGCTCCTCAGCAGCCCAGCTTTGCTTGCACTCTCATGATTTCTCTGTTCTCCTCTGCTCACACCAGATTGGTTTTCCACAGTGCCCACTTTGGTTCCTGTCCCATGAAGCCTTGCAGCTAAGCTCCCCTCAGCCGACTCCATCTCTTTGTCTCTTATTCAAAACAAGTAGTGTAGTCTGGCATCAGGGTGTCAGGCCTCTGGGGCAGCAGCTACATCTGTAGTCAGGAGGCAGGTGGGCTCATGAAGTCCAAATCGGCAGCTTGGTCTGGCCAGGAATACACTCTCTTGGAAGGGGTGCAGGGAGGTAGGGATGCAGCGACAGGTCCAGGTAGCATTCACGGTCAGCCTCCTAGGACTGAGTGGATCTGAGGGTACGATATTACTGTTTAGAATAATACTAACATAGTGCCGCCAGCCTTGACCTGTCAAATAATCAGGGACATTTAGGACTGTGGTTGTGAAATTCAGGCTCACATTAGAACCCCTTAGAGGGCTTGTTAAAACACCTCCAGAGGTTCTGCTTTCTGAAGGTATGGGGTGGGGCCTGAGATTTGCTCTTAAGTTCCCAGATGGTGCTCTGCTACTGGCCCTAAGGCCTCCCTTTGAGAACTACTGCTTTACGAGAAAGATTTGTGGGGCTGGGGCAGTGGTGAAGTTCTCTTTGCTGTTGCTTTTTGTGTTTTTCTGTTGTCTGTCACTGAATGAAGGAATTGTGCTTTTTATTAATGAAGGTGATTTTGCAATGAATTAGCTACAGGGTGGAAGAACCAGAGACATTAGTGGAACTTCAGAAGAACGAATGGGACCCAATCCTAGAATGGGCTGAGAAGAGGTAAGACATGCAACCCCGTGTGCTGGGCAGGCTCTTAGGCCAGGGGCCATGCTGGATAAAGCAGAGTCCTTAGCTGGTAGACTTCCTGGGTCCAGAGCACCCTTAGGATTTGGCACCCTCAGATCATCAGAAATGGGCCACCTTGGAAAAACTGTCCCTCACATTTGTCTCAGCCATCATGCACCAAGTAGGCATTGTGCCAACTATAGGTAAGGGGCCCCACCTCTGCCATGATTGTCTGTGTGTCTTGAGCTATGACTTGATCTCCTTAAGCATTAGCTTCTTTGTGTGTGGAGTTTTTAATCCCTACCTCTTAGGGTATTGTGAGGACTAAATGAAGTGATGGTTAGCGTCCTTTTTGGCACACAGTAAGTGCTACATCCCGGCAGTTATCCTCGTTACTGTTGTCACAATTGGTACGCTATTAAAATAAATCATAAAACGATTTATATGATATTAACTCACAGAGAAAAGTCTGAACAGCATCCTACAAAATTATAGGTAACATTCATCCTGTGGATATAAGGTGTCCAGGAATTGATGCTTCCTTAGCAAGAGGATTCTTTTGTGCAAACTGAATAGATTATTGATGTGGTGGCAAATTTGGTTTCATTCCAAGGGGACTTTGTAAGGGCTACTACCTTGGTACTATCCTGACCCCACAGTATTTTGTAAGCGTATATGGAGTAGTTTTTGGCATAGCTTCCCGCTCCCTCTTCCCCACAAAAGTGATGTCTGTCAGTCAGTCTGTGTCATTTGTACACATTTTTTGAGTGCTCACTATGTCCCAGGCATCCTTGGTTTCTATAGTAAAAGGCATGGATCAAGTAAAATGTAACAAATATAGTGCTGTGTAAGAACTATGAGGATACAATGTCATTTTAGTGTCTAATGAAATACAACAATATTTAGGTACTTGGAAATCTTTGTTATTATATAAAATTATTAGCTTTTTTTTTTTTTTTGAGATTGCTTGTTAATAATTTACAGAAAAACTGGGCCATTTGCTATGCTCCATTTGTACTGTTAGAAATTCAGAAAGAATATTTCTAAACCAGTGGGGAAAATCAGTGATATGTGAAAGAAAATACGGCTTCCGGTCAAATGGCGGAGTAGGTAAATGTGGTACTTGCATCTTCCTATGACCACATCAAAAAGAAAACTAAACTGAAGAACAACTATTGTTGAAAACTACCTAATATTTAGCTGAACAGATGTTCCATAACTAAGGATACACACAAGAAGTCGCATAAGACTGGTAGGAGGGGTAGAGATGCAGGACAGGTAGGTCCCACACCCACATGTGGTGGTTAAATATCAGGAGGGATATCTCAGCTATGGAGGTCCCCCTTCAAGAGAGATGGATCCCAACCCTACAACTTGCTTCCCAGTCCATGGTTCTAGTGCATGGAAGAGAAGCCCCCATAACCTCTAGCTGTGAAAACCAGCAGGAATTGTGGGTGAGTGAGGGAAGTCCTCTTAAAGGGCCTGTGCAGAGATTTATTAGCTCTGAGCTCCAGTTAGGGTAGCAGCTCTAAAAGCAGTTCTCAGTGAGAACTTCAACAGAGAGATAGAAAACATAAAAAAGGACCAGTCAGAAATGAAGAATTACATAACTGAAATGAGGAATACACTAGAAGGAATCAACAGTAGAGTAGATGAAGCAGAGGATTGAATCAGCGATTTGAAACATAAGGTAGGAGAAAACACTCCATTAGAACAAAAAAAGAAAAATGAATTAAAAAAAAATGAGGATAGTTTAAGCAGCTTCTGAGTCAACATCAAACGTACCAACATTCACTTCATGAGGGTGCCAAAAGGATCAGAAAGGAATTGAAAACCCGTTTAAAAAAATAGTGACAGAAAATTTCCCTAACTGGTGAAAGAAAAAGATACACAAATTCAGGAAGCACAGAGTCCCAAACAAGATGAACTTAAGGAGAGCCACACCAAGACACGATAATTAAAATACCAAAGGTTAAAGACAGAATTTTAAAAGCAGCAAGAGAAAAACAGTTACCTGCAAGGGAGTTCTCAAGACTTCCAGCTGGTTTCTCAACAAAAACTTTGCAGGCCTGAAGGGATTGGCATGAAATATTTAAAGTGATGAAAAGCAAGGACCTACAACCAAAATTAACCAGAAAAGCTCTCATGTAGAATTGAAATTCAGGTAAAGAGTTTCCCAGATAAGAAAAAGGCTAAAGGAGTTCATTACCACCAAGTCAAAATTACAAGTAATGTTAAAGGATCTTCTCTAAGAAGAAGAAAAAAAAGAATATGAATAGCAAAATGGCAGTAAATATATATCTACACTAATAAAAGAGAAACATGCAAATTAACCATCACTCTGCTACCCCAAGCCATGCCCAACAGCCAATCAGGAGTGAGTATGTGAATTAACCCAACCAAGATGGCAGCTGGCCACAGAGCTAGAGCAAGTAGGAGGCTTGAGTTGCCCCCAGTAATGGAGGAAGCTAAGCTTCCTGGCTGGCCCTGGCCTCTACTCAAGGCTACAAGGTTTCAATTATAGGAGATAAATAAATCCTAGATACTTGCTTCCAGCTGGCCCTTTGCTCAAAGAGGCACTGAAAAAAAAGAAAAGAAAAAAGGAAGGGCTGGGACTTTGGGTCACCGGGAGCTGATCAGGCCAGGATGGGATGGCAGGGGCCATTGGGGGTAAGCAGACCAGCAGGGGGGCCAGTTGCAGGTGAGCAGGAAGCGGGGGGGGGGGGCAATTTAGAGTGAGCAGGCCAGCAGGGGGACAGTTGGGGGTGAGCAGGCCAGTGGGGAGGCTAAGTAGGGGCGAGCAGGCCAACAGGGGATCAGTCAGTTGGGGGTGAGCAGGCCAGCAGGCAGAGTGGTTAGTAGCAATCAGGCAGGCAGGCAGGTGAGCTGCTGGAGCCAGCAGTCCCGGATTGTGAGAGGGATGTCAGACTGCCGGTTTAGGCCCGATCCCTGTAAACTGGCAGTAGAACATCTTTTGAGGGGGTCCCAGATTGCAGAGGGTGCAGGCTGGGCTGAGGGACACCCCCATGCTCGAATTTCGTGCACCGGGCTGCTAGTCTATTAATAATTACTTTAAATGCAAATGGATTAAATAACCCAATCAAAAGACACAGAATGCCTGAATGGATATGAAAGCAAACATATATATGCTATCTACAAGAGACTCACTTCAGATAAGATACATACAGACTGCAATAAAGGGATGGGAAGTTATTCATGAAAATGGAAACAAAAGCTAGAATAGCAATACTTATACCAGACAAAATAGACTTTAAAACAAAGGCTACAACAAGAAATAAAGACCTAGCCAAAACTGGTTTGGCTCAGTGGATAGAGCGTCGGCCTGAAAGGTCCCAGGTTTGATTCAGATCAAGGGTATGAGGGCATGTACCTTGATTGTGGGCACATCCCCGGTAGGAGGTGTGCAGGAAGCAGCTGATTGATGATTCTCTCTCATCGATGTTTCTAACTCTTCCTCTCTGTAAAAAAAAAAAAAAAAAAAAAAAAAAATCAATAAAATGTATTTTTTTAAAAAGAAAAAAAGACCCTGCAATTCCACTTCTGGGTATTTATCTGAAGAAACCCAAAGACATATGTGTCTGTATGTTCATTGCATTATTTACAGTAGCTAAGATATGAAAGTAACATAAGGTGCTTCCATCAAAAGACAAATGGATAAAAAAGATATGGTACATATATACAGTGAAATATTAGCCATAAAAAAGAATGAAACCTTACCATTTACAACAACATGGATGGACATACAGGACATGTGCTCAGAGAAAGACACATACCATATGATTTCACTTATATGTAGAATGTAAACAACAAAATAAAAAGACATAGAGAAAATTTTGATAGTTGTCTAAGGGCTGGGAGGCTATGTGAAAAAGGTGAAGGGACTAAGAAGCACAAAAAATTGCTCGCTGGCTGGTGTGGTTCAGTGGTTAGAATGTTGGCCCATGCACTGAAGGGTTGTGGGTTTGATTCCTGGTCAAAGGTTACAGGTTCAGTGCTCGGATAGACATCTAACCGCGGCAGCACACAACAATTTCAATGGAATACAACTAAAATGTAGAGTGGACATTGCCCAGAGCTACAGGTAGTCAACTGACTGAAAATTCTACAACAAGAAGGAAAGAGAAAACCAGAAGGAAAATCAGAGGAGCTGAAAAAAAGCCTAAGGTACGGAGACATGCTGCGCGCCCGCCCGCACGTGCGCGGAGAGGTCGCAGCTGGAGAGGAGGAGAGGGCTGGGTGCTGCCTGGCGTTCCCTAGCAGGAAGGAAATAAAACGCCCAGCCTGGGCTGAACCCCCGAATCGGCAGCACTGAGCCCCAGTTATGGGCCAGACCCTGGGGACCCAGGCTCCGGCAGGGGGGGAGGGGGCTGTGAGGCGGAATCCCAGGGGAGCAGCGAAAAGCAGGGCCCCCCGGAGTTGCGCGCATATTGCGCGCAGAGGACTGAATGTTGACTCTGATGCTGGATTGCCCTAGCCGGAAGAAACAAAGCCTCCGGTGGCGCTGAGCCTCAGTCCGGACTGCTCCGAACCCCAGTTCTAGGCCAATCCCTGGGGACCCAAGCTCAAGCAGAGGGAGACAGGGCTGTGAGATGGAGTCCTGGGAGAGCGGCGAAAGGCCGAGCCCCCGGAGTCGCGCACACTGCGCGCAGAGGACAGTCTGTTGACTCTGATGCTAGACTCCCCTAGCGGGAAGGAGAAAAAAAGCTCCAGACTGGAAGTACGGGACGAGGAGCAGGAGCCCCTGCCGGACACCGGTCAGCCAGGCACCAGCAAGGAGCCGGGTGACGGGGCCCCCAGGGGGGTGTTGCCCCTGAGCCTTCAACCGCTGAGCGTGGGCAACGGAGCCAAGGCCGGGGGCTGCTTCCTGGGCGGCGCCGACCCCGGCAACAGGCTGAAGCAGCGCAGGAGCCTGCGGAGAACAAAGGGGTGCCACAGGCTAACCTGCTGAGCTCCCAGGACAAGGAGGAAGAAACCAAAGAAGTTCTCAATGTGAAGAAATCAAGTGAGAGCAAAAGATAGTAAAATTACTTAAGAAAGAATACAAAGAAGATCTTGAAAAATCAAAGACTAAGTCAGAACTCAACTCACCAGCCAACATTGCAACATAAATGCGTTTTAAAAAGAAAAAAAAAAGGACAGAATGTTGGAACAGCGGCAGCCAGGCCTAGAGTGGCCAGGCACAAGGCAGTGGCAGCCGGGCCCGGAGCAGCAACGGCCAGGCCCAAGAGCAGCAGCAGCCAGAACCAGAGCATCATCAGCCAGCACTGGAGCAGCCAGACCTGGGGCAATGGCAGCCAGGCCTGAGGCGGAGGCGGCCAAGCCCAGGGTGGCCAGTCCAGGAACACCCAGTCCCAGAGTGGCAGCCGGGTTGGGAGCAGCCAGACCTAGAACAGCAGTAGCCAAGCCCAGAGCATCCAGGCCTGGACCGGCCAGGCTCGGAGCAACCGGGCCCAGGGCAGCCGGGCCCAGAGCAGCCGGGTCCGGTGCGGCCAGGCCTGTAGCAGCAGCTGCCAGGCTGGGAGCGGCCAGGCCCGGAGCAGCCGGATCTGGTGTGGCCAGGCCCGGAGCAGCGGCTGCCAGGCTGGGAGTGGCCAGGCCCGGAGCAGCGGCTGCCAGGCTGTGAGCGACCAGGCCCGGAGCAGCAGCAGCCAAGTCCAGAGCAACTAGGTCGGGAGCGGCAGTGACCTGACCTGGAGCAGCTGGTTGTGGAACGAACCAGAGCAACAGAGGCCAGGCCCGGAACATCCAGGCCCGGAACAGCTTGCTCCTCGCCTGCCCCTGCCCCACGGCTGACTCTCAGACATGGCTGGAAACTTTTGCGGGAACTTGAGGGTCTGCTGAATCAAGTGGTGAAGGCTTAGATCTGGATGTGTTGAGTTAGTATAGGGCTGGGTTGGTTGATCTGTGAGTGCCTTGGGTGGGGCCTGGATGAGGCTAGTTGACCTATTTGGAAATGTCTTTTGTGTGAAGTGTATCATTGGGCAAGTGGAGGTATTATTGATATGAGAAAATGCTAAGTAACTGATTTACTATCTGAAAAGGGATTTACATCGGGGAAAGGGAGGGAGGAAGAGACTGAACATAAACTGTGCACCCATGGATGAGGACAATGGGGGATGGGGAGGGGTCGGAGGGTGGGGTGGGAACCTGGTGGAGGGGGGAAGAAATGAGGAACCTTTGTAATAATATGAACAATAAAGATTGATTAAAAAAAAAAAAAAAAGGATTACAGGTTCAATCCCCGGGCCCGATTGGGGCTTGTGTGGAAGGCAACCAATCGATGTTCTCACATCCATGTTTTTTCTCCCCCCCCCACTCTGTCTTTCCTTTTTTAAAGAGCAATGGAAAAATATTCTCAGGTGAGGATTTAAAAAAAAAAAGCACAAATTGGTAATTACAAAAAAGTCACGGGGATGTAAAATATAGCATAGGGAATAGGGAATGTCAATATTTTTGTAAATACTATGTATGGTGCCAGATGAATACTAAATTGCTTTTATTCCATTATGTTTTCCCTGTATTTTATGTAGTTATGACTGTTTTTGAAAATACATCATTTAAAAAAATATATATTTTATTGATTTTGTACAGAGAGGAAAGGAGAGAGATACAGAGTTAGAAACATCGATGAGAGAGAGTCATCGATCAACTGCCTCTTGCACACCCCCCACTGGGGATATGCCCGCAACCAAGGTACATGCCCTTGACCGGAATCGAACCCAGGACCTTTCAGTCCCCAAGCCGACACTCTATCCATTGAGCCAAACCGGTTTCGGCAATACATCATTCTTGAAGCCAACTCATATCCCATACAAAAAACAATGCCTTGTATATAGTACAGGCTTAATAAATATTTGATAAAGTGGTTGAATAATATAGGACATACACAGGTGTTATTGTAAGGAAAACAATATTTGAAAGAAATCATTTATGAGCTCAGTGTGAAAATTGTTTCTTAAAAAGCAGGTAGCCCATGCTTTTGATCCTAGGCAAAGAGAATTCCCTCCTGGCACAACTTGCATACCTGTGCCTCCATTCGGGATAATTACTTCTTATTGATTTCAGAGAGAGGAAGGGAGAGGGAGAGAAACAGAATGATCAGCCGCTGCCTCCTGCGCGCCCCCCTCTGGGAATTGAGTCCGCAACCCGGCATGTGCCCTGACTGGGAATTGGACTGTGTCCTCCTGAGTCATGGGTCTGTGCTCCTGGAAGGGTGTGAGCCTGCTGTCCCCCGACAGCAGTTTCTTGATCCTCGGGCTTTGCTCATGATAAAAATTACTCAGTCAGGAGGTCACTGACCACCGTGGTAGTTGCTCCCAGAATCCTCAAGTCCGACTTCTTTACCACTTGCCCTGGAGGGGTGCACACCTGCTGAGCAGTTAGGACTTTGCTTCTGGGCAAAGCTGAGGTGCACAGCAACCAAAGCCTTTCCTTTCAGGTACGGCGTGGAGATTGGCTCCTCCACCAGCATCATGGGGCCCAGCATCCCCACCAGGACTCGGGAGGTGCTCGTCAGCCACCTGGCATCTTACAACATGTGGGCCCTACAAGGTATGCAGGCATTTCCTAGGCCTGGGGTGTGGAGGGATTGGCATGGGTGTCCGTAGCCTGAGAATCACAGGAGCATGCTGTGGGGTGGGTCTGCTGCTCACTTTGCTCAGTTTGAGGGGACAGCAGGCTCACACCCTTCTAGGAGAAGGTTGGCTTTCTCCAGAAGTTCAAGTCTCATCGGCCCATCCATGAACCAGTCACTGGGGCAGGGCTGGAATGGTTCCAGTCATGTGCCCACCCCAGGCAGGAGCAGAGGAGGACTCTCCCCTCATGGAGGAGGAGGAGAAGGAGGGATCTAGGGCCTGTCAAGAAGCCCTGTGACTCATCTCCCCCACCTCTAGGGTGTAGGGACTCACAAGGAGGTCTAGCCACTGCTTTGTTTCAGGGTGGCAGTGTCCTGGGTTGGCTTATGTCCCTGCAGGAATTGAATTTGTCGTGACCCAACTCAAGTCCGTGATGCTGACCTTGGGCCTGATGGACCTGCATCTGACAGTGGAGCAGGCCGTGCTGCTGTCCCGCCTGGAGGAGGAGTACCAGGTGAGGTTTGTAGCGGCCCAGAGGCGAGCACTTCAAGTCCCCATCTCACCCTCCAGATTCAGACTACCTGGGGTTCGGGGTAACCCATCTATTTTATTACTTTTGCGTAAATAACAGAAACTGCAACAGCATCGAGCTCAGCTCTCCCTCATTGCCTCAACCCCTCTCCCAAACAGCCTGATCACGTGGGGGCTGTTGTTATGCCCATTTACACAGGAGGAAACCGAGGCACAGGCCAAATCCTCAGAAAATGCTGGAGCCAGGTGACTCCAGGTCCAGGCCTTCACCCCCCACCCAGCATGTGGCAAATCAAGATCCTTTGGTCCTAGCACCCCTGAAAATGGTCCGTTAAAATGGCTGGAGCCATGGGGTTGCTCTTGGAAACAGCCTCTGTGCCCTGACATCCATGCAGGGCATACAAGCGAGCTGCTGCTGTGCACAGGCTGATGGAGTGCTGATGTAGGGTCTGTTCTGCTGTCATTTGCTTTTTAATTTTTAATTTTTTTTTATTTTCAGAAAGGAAAGAACAGGGACAGAGTGAGAGAAACACTGATGAGAAAGCATTAATTAGCTGCCTCTTATACACCCCCTACTGAGGATTGAGCCCACAACTTGGACATGTGTGCCCCAACTGGGAATCGAACCAGCAACCCCTGTGGTTCACAGGAGGACACTCAACCAACTGAGTCACACTAGCCAGGGCTGAATTATTATTTTTAAATCCTCCCCCGAGGACATGTGCACTGATTTTAGAGGCGGCGGGAGGAGGGAGATTGACACAGATGTGACAGAACATCAGTTGGTTCCGTACGGGTCCTGGCCAGGGATCCACCCTGATACACTGCTGTGCAAAAATGATGCTCTAACCACTGGACACACCAGCTGAGCAGGGTTTGCATTTTTTTAAACTGAGAATTATGACAGTCTGCAATCTTTGTTGTTATTTCTCAAACTTCCTAAGGTTAATCGTTATTAGAAATCAGTCCATAGCACGATGAGCCCCTTTTATAATGGCGGTATTGCCCAAGTTCTTCTGTTACCTCTCCAGAAAAATGCCTGGGGAAACTGTATCACAAAAGAGGCTAGCTGTCCTCTGAGTGTTAGAAGCAATTATGGGGTAGAGAGACAATCTGTGAGGGTGAGACTGCGCAGGCTCTGAGAGATAGGGAGCCAGGAAACCTGGTTTCTGGTCTGGGCTCTGCTTTTGACAGTGGGACCCAAGCTAGGCTGCTGTTTTCTGAACTTCAGGTTTGAACAAAATGGGAGCCACCTGGATTGTGTGCGCGAGCTCCCTGAAAGGAGAGCGTGCTCTCCAGGTGGCTAATCACACTTGTCCAGGTGAGACGAGGAGCCCAGAGGTGCGAGAGCTGCTGAGGCAGAGGCTGACTCAGCTCCGAGCAGGTGGGCGGCTGGGCCAGGAGGAGTCAGCAGGGCGGAGGACAGCTCCGCTGACATGTAGACAGCCACATGTGTCCGGGTTTCTTCTGTGGCTTAGAGTCGAGAGTGTCTGCAGCCTTGCCCTAGCAGTCACAGATGAAGTGCCGAGTGGCCGTGGTTGATGTTTTCTATCCCACTCGCAGGCCACCTGGTGAGGCAGCGCAGAGAGAGGATGGCATCTATAGGTTGCCGGTGCCGGCCTCCTTGTGGGAAGACGTGTGAGAGAGGGATGGCACACAGGTGGGCCTCAGGGAAGATGTGGTTTTGGTGCCTGGCCTGCCTAGTAGCGAGTGCCTGCTGTCCCTGAGCCTGGACTGCACCCTCCTAGACCATCCCCACCGCGTGGAAGGCGGAGCCTGCTCTGGCCACCTGTGTGCGCTTCCCACAGCCTCCCCAACATGTGTGTCTTGCCTGTTTGGAGTTGGGAGCCTGTGGCCCTCAGTCCGGCTGTAGGGATGGTATGTGGCTCAGGCCTGCAGCGGCTGGGCACTAAGCTGCTCACTAACATCCCTTGTCCTTCCCTCAGATCCAGAAGTGGGGCCACGTGGAATGGGCCCATGACTATGAGTTGCGGGAGCTCCGGGCACGCACGGCTGCCGGCGTCCTCTTTATCCACCTCTGCTCCGAGAGCACCACGGTCAAGCACAAGCTCCTGCAGGAGTGAAGCCGGCGGTGCGCGTGCCATGCCGGGGACAGAGGCCGCGAGCCCCAGCTCCCAAGCCTGCAGACATGGCCTGGCTCCACACGATGTCGACCCGAGGGCCTGAGACACTGTGGTGGTCTGGTCAGCTTGAGTCCACCCAGGGCCCCTGCCTATCCAGCAAGGGGATCAGGTGTACGAGTGGCTTTCTCTACCCTGACTGCTGCTCCATCCAGGAGAGACGCTGAGCCCTGTTTACGTTGGCGCCTCCACATACCCTCCTGTCCTTGTTACACTGGGTCTCACCTAGACCCCCAGCAGTTTGATGCCTGCCGCCTCTTGTCAGGCCGTCAGCAAATAGCTCCATGAACTCTGTGTCTCTGGGGCCCTCGACCTCAGCCCAAAAGCTTTCCCCCAGGCGTTTAGTCAAACGATCTTTGGAAAGTGTCCCTTTTGGTCTAAGCTGATTGTTTCTACTATAATATTTCAGGAAAAAAGTAATAATTTACTCTTGAAAGTAGAAATGCCCATTATTTCTGGACTGAAAGCCCCGGTGGCCTGGGCAAGGCACCCTGATGAGCACATGGCTGTCGGCACAGTCCGGGAGGCGCGGTGCCGCGTGCCAGGGCCCAGGGCAGGAAACCGGTCCGGGTTCAGGAGCGTCTGCTTTCTGAGTTGCAAAAAGCATCACTCCCAGTCCGGGGCCTGGCCACACGCCAGGTGCTTGGCCACTCATCCCTCATCCCAGGCTTGTGCTCAGAGGAGGCATGCTCACGCCTGCACTGCACCGCAGCTCTGGCTACAGGGGTGGTGTGGGTGCCCGCTGTGCTCTCCACCACCGGAGGGTCCCTGCGGCCAAGCTCAGTCACGACCGCAGCCTCTGCTTTGTGCTGCTGCGCCTCGGCTTTCCTCCTCAGCACCCAGAGGAGGGCAGCGGGGTCCATACTGGCCCACTCCCCTGCAGCTGCAGCCCTCCGGCCCATCAGGGGAATGCGCACGGCCAGGAGCGCAGCCCTCGGCCCACCCCTGGGCAGTGGCTCTCGGGAGGGGGCTTACTGATGCTCACACAGGAACAGGAAACTCATACCTCTCTAAAGAATGGAGAAATGGTGACACCGGTCCTTTATTTCTGTCTACATTTGGGAATTGGTGCAGGGGTGGTAGGAGGATGGGGCTGGGGGCTGAGTCCCCACACTCTCCTGGCAGGACCCAGTGCTGTTTTCAGAGGGATCTTCTGGGCAGGCTCCTAATCTAGAATGTCGCCACTGTCAAGGTTGTCCAGTTCATTCTGCACGTGGTCCATGAACTGATTGATCTCCTTCACTCGCTTGCGGTTCCTCATGGTCTCGTCCTTGTGAATCTGAGGGGGAGACCAAAGCCCAATTCCCGTGGGTCAGAGAATTGATTAATATCTCACTGAGTCCAGTTTGGGGAAAAGAAAGGTAATTCTTTGAATTTTGCATAGTTATGTCTCTCATTTACCCCACAGCTCCCTGGGTTCTGCTTAATCCATCTACATGCAGGTGTCCCCCAAAAGTGTATACACACTGACTCATTACTCATTCCAGTGGGTCAAATCTGAAAGGAAACCAACACCAGTTGACCTATCAGCTGTTAGAGTGTGGGTATGTTCTGGGACACCCTGTACTGAGTGAGAAGAGAGATGAAGCACATGACTGGGCAACGTGCAGTCTTCAGCGGAGAATCCGGTAGTTTTACTTTCTCGCTTCTTACCGCAGAGTTCCTGCTCCTCCCGCTCCTCCCTGGCCATGCTAGAGGCACTGACGCCGCCTGCCGCGCGCAGCTCACTCACCTTGTCCACTAAGTGTGTGCACCAGGAGTTGACTCTGGTCACCAGCTCGTCTTCTCGGTTGTCAATCTTGAGAAGGTGGATGTCATGTGATGTCCCAACAGCATTCACAATTGTGTCTTTGTCCACAAAAAGCTGGGGAGCGGGATAACATGAGCAAGTGTGTCTCGTTACTCCCTGAGCAAAGCAGGGAGCGGAGAGGAAGGAGCCCGGAGCGTCTGGCTCCTGGGGTGGTGCTGTGCTGCTGCCTGCGCCCGCCCGCCCGCCGAGAGCATGGTGAGTGTCATGGCAAAGGGTCAGCCAGGCAGACTGCAGTCCCAGGGAGAAGGCAAAGGGTGCCTCGGGCTGCCCTCACTGAGGACATGGGCTCCCGCCTGGACCCTTGCAGCTCGTGTGGGAAGTGCGAGGCTGGTCGAGGGTCTGAGGCTGCTCTGAGGACACAAGACCCTGCCAACGGGGCGCCCACACCACACTGCTCCACTCTGTTCACACCAATCAACTCCAACCTGGCATCGCTCTTAGGGTCCCCTGCCTTCTTGCATTCCCGACCTTGTAAAAAGTTGGAAACAACCACCCTCCACGAGGCTTGGCTGGTGCTAGGTGTTCACACTGGCGCTGTGCCTGGCACAGTTGAAAACCAAGTGGCTTCCATCGCTCCTCTTTGGATTAGCTCTGACAGCTGTGAAAACAAACTCGGAGCCAGACCTCCGATGGCTCTCAAAGGTTAAGGCAAGATTTCAAAGAGGAATGAAGCCCACCCAGCCACATTGCTTTTCCGTAGGCTCTTGTTATTAACTGTAAGCCAATGATTCAACTATGGATGGAGGAAATTTTGTTAGAAAAATTTGTTGTAAAATACTTTATGTAATATATATATATTTTTTAAAGGAAGAAATGTTAAGTGGCATCATTTCCCGGGCAGGGAAGCCACAAAGCGCTCAGCAGCGTCGCCCCAGCCCCGGGAAGGGCGGTGCTCTGTAATGCCCAGACGGCACCGCTGGAAGGTCCTGCCCGAGAGGCGTGCAGGGAGAGTACTTGTTCATTCTTCGGGATAGCAGTGGTGAAGTTAATAGCCTCCAAAATACGTTCTGTGCAAGCTTGAGATGTTAATATTTCTGAAAAAACCCACAACATTGTTTGGTCAAATATGTTTGCACAGCCTGGATTCCATGGTGCACAGAGCCTTCCAGCGACAGTTCTGGGAAGTTCTGTGGAAAAGAAACTTGACTTTTTCTCTCAGTTTTGCAACTTATCTGGCCACAGACTTCTTTTCAGAGTAAAACCTGTTACTATTTCATGGGATGCTGGTTTCCACAGGATCCAGAACAGAGAAGCCATGCTGGCTGATGCGGGGAGTGGGGCCTCTGGGGGAGCAGCTAGCACCATCATATTAGGTCTAGTAATAATTAATGTCGTTTCTAATATTTTTAAATCGAATTTATTTAAACAATACAACAAAATTTAATCAACAATATAGTTGCCGTTGTTTTCTACTACTTGTGCCCAATGCTCAGGAAGTATTTTAATCCCTCTGTTGTAAAATTCTTGTGATTTTGATGCAAAAAATTCGGTCAATGCATTTTTGAGGCATTTTTCATTAATTTTTTTTCCAAGAAGAAAGTTGTGCAAAGAACGAATCAAATGGTAATCGGAAGGGGCAATATCAGGAGAATATTCAGGTTGAGGGAGAACTTCCCATTCCAACTGGCGCAGTTTTTCAGCAGTGATTCTTGCAGTATGCGGTCGTGCGTTATCGTGGTGAAGAATTACGCCCTTCCGATTAATCAGCGCGGGTTCTTTTTCTCTTAAAGCTTGGGCTAACCTTTCCAATTGGGCACTATACACTGCACTTGTAATGGTTTGGTTAGATGGTAAAAGTTCATAATGAAGAATTCCTTTAAAATTCCATCAAACACACAACATCACTTTTTTCGCATGCAAGTCAGGTTTTGGCGTGGGCTGCGGAGCCTCATTTTTGTCCAACCATTGAGGCCGCCTTTTCAAATTAACATACAGCACCCATTTTTCATCTCCGGTAACAATTTGCTCTAAAAACGGCAAACGGTTTTGACGAGAGAGGAGCGAACTGCAAATTGTGACTCTTTGATTACGGTTGTTGTTGGTCAACTCACGAGGAACCCATTTTCCAAACTTTTGGACTTTGCCAAGTGCATGCAATTGATTGGAAATTGTTTTTTGTGAACAATTTAAAGTTGTCGCAAGCTCTTGTTGGGTAATTTGAGGATTTTGCACCAAAAGAGCTTGAAGAGCTTCTTGATCAAAATTGGACACACGGCCTCGACCACTCTTGTCATCTAAGGAAAAATTTCCCTCGCGAAATTTCTCAAACCAACACTGGCATTTTCTGGCGCTAACTGCATCTTGACCAAGAGCACAACAGATGTTTTTTGCAGCCTCACTTGCTTTTCTTCCTAATTGGAACTCGTAAAGCATGCAGTGCCGAATATGCTCTTTATCCACCATCTTCTTAGCCCTACTTTTGCAACAAAAACCAAACCAAACACAAACTTTTTCAAGCAAAACTTGTTAATTGCACTTCACACGTTCTGTAGATACCACGTGTTTGAAGGTTATGTCAATACAAGTCAACGCCAAGCAAGATTTTAAACGAATGTTTTAAAACGACATTAATTATTACTAGACCCGATACAGAAGTGACAAGATGTCATTACATTCTCCCTCTGTGCACAGCAGGCTTCAGGCCAGGCTCTGGGAAGGTGCAGACACATGTTGCCCACCTGGGAAGGTGCAGACACATGTTGCCCGCCTGGGAAGGTGCAGACACATATTGCCCCCCTACTGCAGAGGCTGTGCCAGCTGTTCCCAAACAGCATCCACCCAAGGTCCTTGTTCTTCATTTTAAAAAGTGGGTTACAGCCCTAGCCGGTTTGGCTCAGTGGGCAGAGTGCCGGCCTGCCGAAGGGTCTCGGATTCCATTCCAGCCAAGGGCACATGCCCGGGTTATGGGCTCGATCCCCAGTAGGGGGCGTCGGGAGGCAGCTGGTCAGTGGATTCCTATCATTGATGTTTCTATCTCCCTCTCCTGTTTGAAATCAATAAAAATATATTCAAAATAAATGAGATTCTCCCCTTCAAAAACAGTGGATTACAGCTGATCTCTTAAACCAAGCAGAGGAACATCCTTCTGAAAATGCAGAAGGCTGTTTTGGAAGCTGTGGGAAGTAGAGTCTGCTTGGGATGGACGAGATAAGAATTGGTTATGAAAGACTGTGACTGTAAAATACAAATGAAAGGAGTCAGGTTTAAAGACGTGATTTTAAAATGCAAGTTTCTGGACTCCAATTGGCCTAAAATGGTGACTGTCAGTGTGCCTTCAAGCAGTTCCTGTGAGGAGATGCTCTGGATTCCCCTCTGATCCTGCAGGTCAGAAGCCCTACAGAGAGCGGGGTGTGCAGAGCCCTTGGGGGTGGCAGCCTCTGTCCTGTGGGCCGTGTGGCCACAAAGAACCTTTTAAAGCGATGTGTCGGGGCGGGAGGCTGGGAAGTGTGTGCCTTCCCAGGGCCACCAGGATGCTGGTGGCTTGAGGATTGCTTGCTCCATGTCCACGTGGGATTAGATAATGCTGCCACACCCATCCTGGGCGCCTGCCCACACTGTGGTCCCCTCGCCACAGAAATGAGCAGAGGTCCTGCCTGTGCAGTCCCCGCTTGGCCAAAGGGGCAGTGACCGGTGCTGCCTGCTCCTCTGCCGAGGGGGAGCCCTCAGGTCCCAGGCAGGATCCTGTCACAGCCACCCTGTCCAGGGACTGCTGGCCGGGTCCCACCCGCCGTCAGTTAGGGACTCTGAGCCTGCCCCTGGGTGGGCAGGATGAGCGCCCAGAGCCTCCTTGCTGGGTAGTGCTCCCTGCGCAGTGCTCTGCAGTTCAGCCCTGGGGGAGGGAGCAGCGTGTTCACTCCTGCTGCCCTGGGCAGCGCTGCCTGCCGTGCCACGGGGCCTTCCCTTGCACCAGCTCCGGGCTCCGGTCCTGAGCATGTGCGGTCAGCTTTTCCCGGCAAAGAGGTGAAGGACTTTACATACAGAGGCAGCCCTAAATGTGGAGGAGCTGGCCACAAGCTCTCCGCTGGGCAAGCGTTTTAAAGAGCGCCTCAGCTGTGTGACTTCTGGTCAGGATGCGCTCATTGCTAACCACCCACAGAGCCAGGCTTTGGGGCCGCCGGCCTGCTGCCTCGGCTGAACCCCCTCTTGCTACAGGCACAGTAGACATTTTGTGAAAGGCTTTGAGTCAAGCCTGTTCCGGTCCCAATTCTGCCCCTTCCATGCTATGTGTCTTAGGTGGGTTACTCTCCGCTCTGTGCCTCAGTTTGCTCATCTGTAAGAAGGAATCATAATGGCACTGATATTACTGTGGATGTGGAGATTAAAAGAGCAAATATACGTCCAGGGCCTCGGAGATGCAGGCGTAGGGAGGCCTGCAGAACTGGCCGTTGGTGTCATCATTACTCTCCCAGCCGGGGCGTGCTCTCCCAGCTCAGCGTGCCCACGGCAGTGCTGGCCTAAGGCACACCCGGGGGGAGTCCTGGCGATGCTGCAGTGCACACGTGCCATGCTGCTCCTGAGCGCTCCCATCGCCCAGGGAGGCCGCGCCTGGGCCCTGCTGGTTGTCCCGCGCAGGGGAGCCCTGATCTCAGAGCGGAGCCCGCCTCCCCAGTGCTTGGGGCCACAGGCAGACCGACACCTGCTGCAGGCCAGCTCAATCCGGGCCAGCTCCGCGCCTCAGACAGCCTGCAGCCACTCAGGTCCTCACAAGTGGGCATCGGAGACCCAGTTGAGTGGTGCTCCCACCTACCAACTGTACCTGCCGGGCCCATTGCCAGCCCCGGGAGCCACCTGCCGTCCCACACATAGCAGTCACATCAACAAAGCAGCGCCGCAGCATGAGACTGCGACGAGGGCTCTGCGTGAGGCCGGGACAGACCTGGTTTGTCAGGAAGGTGCTGGGGAGGCCTCTGCAGGAGCTGACATTTGCGCTGGAATCTGAGTGGCAAGAACCAGCCAGACACAGGAAACCCAAGGGAAGAGCATGCCTGGCAGGCGGGATGCCATCAGAGAGGGGCAAGCAGGTCTGGGAGGGGCGGGCCACGGGCAGGGGAGGCTGCTGGGCAGCAGGTCTGGAGCAAGCATGTCCAATGCATGGCCTGTGGGCCACATGCAGCCACAACAAATATGTTTGCAGCCCAGCCAACGAAGCGGAGACACTGGCTGGGATGAACGACGAGGAGACCAACTGCTCCTGACGGGAAGGTATCTGGGCCCGGCCTCCTCGCGCTGACCATGGTCTTCCCAGAGACCTGCCCCCTGCTGCCCACCCATGCCACGCCCTCCTGCCCCCCCACGGGCGGGGTTGGGCAGCGTGGGGCGCAGGCTGACCCTGGGCCCGTGGCACCGTCACTGGCTGTGCTGGGGAAGGGCCGCAAGGTGCTGGACCCGCAATGGCGCGGCTGCTCCCCGCTCAGCAGTCTTCTCCGGGAGCTGGGGGCTAACGGGGAGCTGGGGAATAACGGCTTCTCTGTGCAGGGCTCTTCTGGGAAAGCCAGAGGCCCCGCAGGGAGCTCTGGAAACCCCCTGCTGCCAGGCAGGAGGAACGCCTGGTTATCACGGCCTCTAGCGAGCGCCCCACCCGCAGGGTTTGTGAGCCTATTTCTCCTGCTAGATGGTGTGACTGTCGCCTTTGGCAGAGGAGGAAACTGAGGCCTAGAGGTTTCCAGGCTTATGGGAGCCACAGAGCTGGGGGGACTCTGGCTGGCCTGGCCACCACCAAGCCTGCGCCCCGCTCCCCGCACCCCGCACCCCGCTCCCTGCACCCCGCTCCCCGCTCCCCGCTCCCCGCTCCCCACACCCCGCTCCCCGCTCCCCGCTCCCCGCTCCCCGCTCCCCGCACCCCGCTTCCCGCTCCCCGCATCCCGCTCCCCGCTCCAGCCCGCTCACCGCCCGGACGTCGTCAGGCAGGTCCTCGTCCAGCTCGCCCTTGACCACCTTCTCCAGGGTGTTGATGGCGATCTCCAGGAGCTTTTCGTGGTGGTGGTTCTCCAGGTCCCGGCACTGGGCCAT